TTTAGAGCAAGTCTTGCTATCTGATAGTGGATATACTCCGGCTCTGCTCTTTGTCTTTAGTAGCTATTCTAGGTCCTTCCGAGTGTATTTTTTAAAGCATTAGACTAAAAACCTAAGGAGAAGTTTAAGTTTCATCTTGGCCCTGAGTAAGACCTCATGAAAGACGTTTAACCTCCCTCTCTCTGTGCTCCTCATTTGTAAAACATGCAGAGATTGTATTGCACAAACCCAAAGGTGTTCGCATTTGTGATTTTCTAGCCCAATTCACACAGAAGGGGAATACAACTAATGTTCATAAATAAAACACAGGAAACCTCCCTCGGAGGATGGTTGGTTAAATGCAGCCAAATTTTCCCTCCACAAATACTATTTTAGATTTAAAACAATGCATCTGAAAGCAAGCTGAGTCCCCATTTGCTTAATAAAACATCACAGATTTGCAAATTCATGAAGTCCCTAACCTGACTATTTAAGAATGACACAACAAAATTCAGAGCCTTTATTGAAAATAAAATTTGGATAATATTAGAAACATTGTCTCACCTATATCTCTCTGTGGTTAGAACAAGAGGTTTAAGTCTGCAGTAACTGACCAATATCACCCCAATAAATTCAATACAAAAGAAGTCTGCAGTAACAGACACCACTTTTCTTCTCTAAAGACAATCTTTAACCCAAAACACATCCTCTCGTTTCAAGACTAGCAGCACAATGTCACACTTCATTTGTTCTCAGGTATTTCCTATGTAATTCTCCACACTTAAAACATTCTCCTGCTCTCTTTTTACAAATTCTATTTTTTTTCAAAGATACATCCTACTTGTCCTCCGTGAGGAATCCTATTTCATACTTCTCAGCTTTTCACTTTGTGCTCACCCAGCTGCACTGCATTTCCTATTTTATCTATATACACAATTGTATTAAACATTTCATTCTCATTTCCCTAAATAGATTCTAAGCTGCTTTTATTTTGAACTGTCAGGTGAGGAGTATTGTGTTTAGCGTTATACAATCACGTCCAGGTCTTTGGGAAGACCTCTTGGGTTGTGAGATTTTCCTCTGTGCCAGTCACGTGTGCTATCTTATTTCACAATGACCTGGTAAGGTAGCCAGCATCCCTCTCACTTCATAAATGAGGAGGCTGTGTTTATTACGATTAGGTAACACTCTCAGTTATACTGAGGGTGTCTGAGTCTCTTCTTCCACCAGGGAGATGGAGATGGGACAAAATGGCTTAGCTGCACAAATGGTTATTGAAAGGAGATAGGGTAGGTTCTAAAAGGCACAGAGTAGGAATAAGTGTTCTTCGTACCAGAGACAAGAGACACTGGGGCCGGGGAGAATACTGACAGAGAAGTGATAAGATCTGGTCCAGGCCTAGGCTGAGAGGTCCAAGATGCATGCTTTCACCAGAGGAGCAGAGTTTGAAATAGAGACAAGATGGAACAAAGTCTGGTTTGAAACACAGGACTGCAGCTGAAAATGGACAATGTGTAGCAACAGAAAAGAGAGCAGGTATTTGACAGGCCTTGGCTGAATGTATAGATTGATAAATAAATGAATGTCTTCTTGGAACAAAGGAGAGAGAGCCATCAAAAACTTATTTGGATGTTTGAAACCTAGATAACTGGCAAGACACGAGTACCATTTAATAAATTAAGGAAGTCAGGAGGAGATGAAAACTTGAGCAGTACATGCTGAGATGGATCCGTACATGGAACATCCAGCAGAGAATGTCCAATAAGCAGTTGCAAATATATAGGTCTCAGAAGAGAAGTAGAGATTGGAGTTTGCAGCTTACAAAATGCTACATGCTGCATCCTATTCTCCAAAACAAAAAAGAAAAACAACAATTAAGTAATAAAGAAGTTGGGTTTAAGAGAAGTTATTTGCCCAAACTAAGTGATACAACTTAGTGACACAACTAAGGGGTAGATGATCTAGAGTTTTAACTCTGATTTCCAATTATAAAATTCAGTGCTCATTTTATTACATCATACTTTCCCTCAGATAAGAATGAGTAAATATCCAAAATAAATAGAAAGTAGCAGATAAAATTATTCTATTCAGGCCACAAATATCTTATGCTAACATGCATGGCTTCAAGTGACAAAAAAATGGAAACTTATCAAATACAGCAAGTGGACCTCTCTTTTCTTGAATATTTTTGTATTCATCCCCAAATTGAAGGCATGCAATTTGCCTGCTGGTATGGACATAGCTGGCAGCATTGCTTGCTGCCCCCCCCAAAATAAATAGATGTACTAGAAGTTGTTAAGTGAATTAAAACTTTGTGCCGCAATGTAATGCCCAATAGCATAGTAAAAAATTCCACTTCAGCCAAAGATGTTCCTAAAAGCTCAAAAAACAGAAGAGGAAAGAACACGGAAAATTTTATGAGGTGGAAGATGTGAAAGATATTACAGAATATACAAGCAAAGAAAGAAAATGTTTGAAAATTTACCAAGTAGCTGGAAGCAGTAGAGGGGAAAAATATCACTCTGAGTACTGCTGATTTTCTAGAACACTCTTGAGAGTTTTTTGAAAAGGAAAATAAAATAAATTATGTATTAGTTATCTACTGCTGCAGAACTGGCACCCTTATTCCTTCTGCATTCTCTCAGCCAACGGAAGTTATAATGCAAGCCCAGATTCAAGCTGTAAGGAAGTAGATGCTGACTTTTAATGACAGGAGCTTCAAAGGCACATTGCAATGAATACAGACACAACTGGCAAGTATCTATTCTTTTAAGATTTTATTTTTACTTCTTTTCAGAGGGGAGAAGGGTTGGAGAGAGAGAGGGAGAGAAACATGGATGTGCGAGAGAAACTTTAGTTGGATGCCTTTCCCATGTCCCCAATTGGGGCACACGGGCTGCAACCCAATCATGTGCCCTGACTGGGGATCCAATCAGCATCTCTTCAGATCATAGGCTGGTGTTCAATCCACTGAGCCACACCAGCCAGGGCCAACTGTAACTATTTTTTTAGTGGTAACCAGTGTGGCTTTCGGTAATTCACTTCAGCTCACTTGGCTTTAGTTTCCTTCTTTCCAAACTAGGGTTAAGATAAGTTTTTGCTCCCTAGGATTCTTTATAGTTCTTTTTTTAAAATGCAATGATTTCCGAATCTGCCTTTAAGGCAAACCAGAAGGGTTTTAGGTAACTCAAGAAGAAGAAATTTACAAGCAAAGTGGCATGATGATTAGCTACGTATAAAATCACTTATTAAAATGCAAAAATGCACCCCGGCTAGTGTGCCTCAGTTGGCTGGTGCATCTTCCCATAAACCAAAAGGTCATTTGTTCCATTTCCAGTAAGGGCACATGCCTGGGTTGGATGTTTGGTCCCAGGTCAGGGCACATGAGAAAGGCAGCAAATCAGTGTTTTTCTCCAATATTGATATTTCTCTCCCACATTGATGTTTCTCTCCCTCTCCTTCCTTTTCTCTCTCTCTAAAATCAATGAGCATGTCCTCAGATGAGGATTTTGAAAATAATAAAAATGCTATATAGAATACAGAAGTGAAAGAGGATGTCATAAAGTTAAACAATGTAGTATTACAAGTTGGAAAAGATTGAAAATGACTAGTTTCACCATTTGACAACACTAATACAAGCTATCCAGAGGGATTAAAAATACAAATATCAGAAAATTGAACTGTCTATTTTATGGCCTAAATGACCCAGTATGGTACTGACTCATCACCAATATTCTACTTTATAGATGTGTCTTCATCAATAATTCAAGGTGTGAAAGTGCCCAATGTTAGAATTACTTGGATTGACTGTTAACATAGTTTAAATTAAGTGGTTAATTGCTTCATCTTCTATTTCACTTGGACCATAAAGATTCAATCAATTTTATCAAGACCAAATGTTAGCCAAGCAGATACAAAGAGAAAGAAGTCAGTCAAGTAGTCAAGGGTGCTTCCTGTTTTTATATGCAGAGAAGAAGCATATTCTTATTAGAATCCCCAAGAGATTTTTTTGTCTGCAAGAGAAGACTGAATGCTTTACTTTCCTCAGACTGACAAGGAAACACTGGCTAAAATACAAAGTGTTATTGTCCAGAAATAAGAACGAGTCTTCTTTGCATGCTAAAGCAGGGGAGAGGGTAGTATTTTCTATTGGTCTCATTTATAAATTCTCTATGCATCCTTTTGTTTTGTTTTGATTTTCCCACAGGATACACAGTTGAAATGACCAACTACTGATATCTGGAGATTAATTTGATTAAATCTTGTCATGCTTGAAACCGGCTAAAGAAGGCAATTCTAACCACTCCCATCGGTAAGAAAACCTGTCTGAATTTGGCACAAATTGCAACTTAGGAAGCTGTATAGTCAGGCAATAGTGAGGAAATGCTTAAATATAAGTGGAGCTGTTGCTGGTACAAAACCATTTCCTTGATATCTGCATGTTCATCATCTTAGTTCTCAGCCTCAGACAGCTGTCTCTTGAACTTCAGGAAACCAGACACCAAAAAGAAGATCTGAAAAACTAAAGCCTGCTAAATTTGCAGACAGAGGTCGGACAGGACTATTTTTAGGATTAATGTTGAGAGCTCTGGTTTTCTTTTTCTTTTCATTCTTTTTTTTTTTTTTTTTTTTTTGCACAGAGGGGCAGATGTTAGATGATTAGGGTACACATTTTAGGGTTTGGAGAAGTTAGTAAGTCAGTGTAAAGAAATAATAACCTGCTTTACTGAAACCTAGAGCATTCATTGACTTGTTTACTGCTGGAAAGATGAGTAGTAATCCACATACATGATGCAATCTTCATATTTTCAAAACAGATACCCACACAATTTAGATGACAGCAGCGAGGGGAAATTGCAAAACAAAATAAAAATGCATTTTAGAATAAACTCACTTTCTTTGCATTCCTTTTTCTATTGCTTCCAAAAATGTTTGAAAATCATTAGCAGCATAAACTTTACAGCTCCATTCCCCAAATTGGTTCCCTTTTTTCCTCACTCCCAGTCCCTAGTTATATTTACCACCCTCTGTTTCTGGAGCACACAGCTGAAGACCCAGGGTTGCATCTGCAGCAAACGTTCTGACTTCCTCTATGAAAATGAGTTTTCAGGAATGCCTATCAAAACAGAGAAAAAATGTCAAGTACCACATTCCTCTTACCAGCTCCCTAACTTCTTTTACCCCTTCTTTTGTATGGTATATAAACACTTTCTCTTTATCTGAACAATGTAAGGTTAAACTCCTGGCTATGTTTATTATTTCAACCCCTCCCCAGCATCTCTTCTAGAACCTTACACTACTAATTGATGTATTTCCAGCCTTTTCATCTCTACTTGTTTCTTCCCATCAGTCTATACAACAAGTCAGCCCATCCCTGCCTTTGTAAACACCCTTGCTGACCTTCAGTCTACTTCAATTAATCACCACTCTCTTCTTCTTTTCACAGCCAAGTTCTTCCAAAGATTGGTTTATAATCACTTGGTCACCTCATATATTCTTCAACCTGCTACAATCAGAATTCTGTCCCTATCATTCTACAGAAAGTATGCAAGGTTATTAATATTAATAATTCAGAGTTTCCCAATCCAATAGTTATTGTGATGTCATTCTCTGTAGCTGTTGCCATAGTCGAACACTGTGTCCCTCCTGGAATGGATAACACCTTCTCCTGGTCTTCTGCTATTCCTTTGACCACTCCCTCTCAGTCATCCCTAGGGCCTTGATTCTACAGCTCCTTGTGTACTATACACTTATGAATCCTACAACATTGAACTCTTCCCTGTAGGGTGTATGTTTGTCTGTGTTACCAAATAAGCTGTTCAAACCAGAGCAGTGAATTCAGGTCACACAGCTGCAAATACAAAATAACATTATTTATTTTAGGTGAGTAATCATTCCCACAATTGCAATGAAGTTGCCTGCTATATAGATTCACCTTGTTGAACAAAGAATATTCCAGCATATATGAGTAAAATTCAAATTATGGAAGTCAAGCAATAGGGTTAGACATTATAAAAAGAGTGCCATAGTAAGAATTAAAATATTTTATAAAATTTCTAATTCTACTTTGCCCTTTGGAAACACTTACTTCTATAAAACAATAATAAAATGGCAACAACAGAAAATGTTGAAGGAACTACCTAGTGCCCACCCCCACCCACCAACCCGCACACACACTACACAGACCAGCACAGTAGTAACAGCCCAAACAGAACTCGTGACTCTGGGACAGCCTCCCATAACAGAGGCTTGCGATATTCCGTAGTTAGGTGATGGAAGCAGTCTGTATTTGTCCAAAAAAGATTGATTAGGGGTGTCCTGTTAAAATGTATGAAAACGCAGGTTGTGCGAAAAGTGGCTGCTGCAGCGGCAAGGAGCACCTGGATCATGCCGGGGAAGAGTCCCAGGAAGAGACGGGCTTGTCGACCTATTCCTGTCAGAGCAAATAGATCAACACAGCCTCCTGAAGCCAAAATCAAAATTACTGGGCAATCAAATAAAAATACATTTGGCATTGAATTACCTCATTTGCATATAGGAAGGGCATAGTTTGAGCTAATTTTATGGACTCTCAGTTGTAATAGATAGAACATCAAACTTGCGGTAGAAGACCTTAGCACCTACTTGCCTGGCATCTCCTGCCAATAAACAGCATATTACCTCCTGTTTTAGCAACTGGCCAAGAATCTTAATCTTAGCTTATCTTTTATCCATCTCCTGTCTGCATCCCAACCAAACTTCATACTGAATACCGGATAGGGAGAGTGTAGACTTGAATAGTGAGAGAGCAAAGCAGGGTATGCAGTCCTCACTGAACGTTAGAATCACCTGGAGAATTTCTACAGTCTGCAGAGGCTGGGACCCACCCCAGACTATGTGAAATAAACCAGACCCAAGAAGTTGAAAATTTCATCCAAGTGATACCAATGTGCCTCTGGGTTTGAAAATCACTGACCAGCAGCATCAGCATCACTTGAAAACACATGAAATGCAAATCTTCAAACACCATCACCGACTTCACCAAACTGAAATTCCGTGGGTTGGGCTCCGAAATCTGTTTCGACAGACCTTCCAAATGGTTCTAATGCCAGCACAAAATAAATTTATTTATTTGAACTTTTTTTATTGTTGTTCAAGTACAGTTGACTCATTTACCCCCACCAATCCCCCACCCCAGCTGTCCCCATCTCTCATCCTTTATCCTACCCCCTTTTCTTTGTCCAAGAGTCTTTTGTACATGTTCCTGAAAACACTTCCCCCTTTTAGGACCACTGAACTAACAACCATTCATTCCTACTCATTCTTTATCTACAGAATTTTCTCTTAAGCTAGGCTCTTGCTTCCCACAGAAACAATGGCACATAAATATTACTCCCATATTTATACTTTTACTCAAGTCCAATATAGGATCCACTCATAAAAAAGGAAAGGAAAAGCCATTTTTAAATACATGGATTTAGAATTCAGACATAGATTTCAAACCAGCATTGCTAATTTACTAAAGATTCGACAATGAGCAAGTACTGAAATTCTCCACGTGTTCGTTTCCTCAACTTTAAATAGAAAAGTAGTACCTATCCTATTAAATGGTTGGGAGGTGTTGACCTAAAAAATAAAAGGCCAAGGGGTGAGGCAACAAGCATTTATTTGATATTGTTAAAAATTTAGCTGTTTGGGAAGGAAGCACTAACTCAGATAGAAACCCAAATAGTATCCCCACTACAAAGGCAAGGGGTGTCAATGAGAAAAAGAAGGGTAACAGTTACATCAACAGAAGGAAGGCATTTCTATTAGTGCAGGTAAACTAACAATGACACTAATTCTGAACAATATTTTTAATTTTCACTTTGGGAGCTATCTGTCTGGTAGTGCCACTATTTGCTTTCTTATTATCCTTGCATTTAGTTCTTCAGGATATAATGCTGCTTTAGGCCCAGTCCAAAGGTCAGTTTACCCTGCTTTAAGATTCTAGAGATGCGAGACGTAAAACAGGCAGGCAGCTCCTCTGGGACAGCAGCTCCGACTCCATTTTAAAGTGGCTTCATTTATTATTTTTACAGAGGGTAAAATTAGGATATCAGTGTAAAGCTCTAATTCAGTGTCTCATATATAGTAGCTTTCAGTAAAGGCTGGATCTTAAAAAGAATCTTTCTGCATCCAGCCCAGGGGTCCTGGGGTGGCGGGGGTGGGGGTTGGAGGTTGGTCTTGCCAAGAAGCTGTAGGAGGCTGTGGGGGTGGGTGATGTGGAAGAACTGGGCCCTGATGCCCAATGGCAAGAGAAGCTTCCCGAGAACCAGCCTTCCCCCACCCCCCCAAACCAGAAAATGAAATAATTATTCCTTATGAAATCAGGGTAACAATGACTGCATATGAAGAAAAAAAGAATCTTTTTGCAAAATTTAAAGAAATAAAAGAAGGGAAAAAAGGAAGGAAGGGAGGGAGACTGGAGAGACTTCACTAATAAAATATTGTTTTTAAGGTCTGGGACAGGAAGACATCTTGTCCATGGGTGACCATGGGCAGGTTATGTGCCTTAGATTACTTATCTGTCTAACAGGATAGTAATAGTTCCTCACTGGCTTGTTACAGAATTGATTAATAGAGTTACTATTAAAGTGAAGCTCTTAGATCAGATCCTGGAACACCATGCTTGAAAAGTAAATAGCCCAACTGTGGGAAGGTAAGGTGAGGCATTGATTGAACCACACTTTGATAGTGCATTAAAAAAACACTTCTGGAATGCCAACTATAGGCCTTAAATATGTCCGCTCATCTCCCTTGGTAATGTCAACAATGACACTGTGGGAACAGTCACCATTACTGTCTCCACCCCCCCAAATGATAAAATAAATCATAGAGAAGCTAGAGGATGTGTTAATATGTCACACACCAAGTCAGAGTGTGAGCTGGGCTCACTCAAACCAGTGCTCTGACTCCTCACTAGATCCCAGGGGCCCCGCTCACATCCCTGCTCCACCGTCCATGAGCAGCTCCTCAAGGCTCCCTGTCATGCAATCTCTCTTCCTGCCAAATGAAGACCTCGGTTCCCATCTTGATGTGCAATTCACAGAGAACTAAGTGAATCATAGAGAAAGGATTGGACAGAATACCAGAACTCCTGAAACCCTACCCTGTATTTTCTTTTTTTTTTCAGATAAGGAAACTCAAAGAGTTTAAGGAACTTGATCAAAGCCATAACAATTTATTTAGTATCAGAGTCACAGTGTAAACCCATTTCTCTTGACTATAAGCTTAGCACTCTCCATTGTACCCATTGTATTAGAGCAGTTTTGACAGGAGAGCAGAAGAAGGGCTAGGCGTTCAGGGGACCCTTGAAGAAACATCAGGTAAATGCTAGACACAGCTTTACACACCAGTCCGCCAGCACATCCTAAACTGGCTTAAGCAAGCAACTTTTCAAAACCTTTCTGATTGTAACAGCTAGAACATTACAAATAAATTATTTAAAGTAATTTAATTTTATGCATTTATATTTAAAGTAGCTAAAAGCAACCTACACAAAAACTCACTTCTCAAGTATTACCATTTGAAGAAACTCTATAGGAGTACATAACTATGTTAACTTTTTTGTTGTAATTTCCTGGAAATTCTTGAAGTGGGTCCAGTTTACTCACCCTTATATTTCAGGACTGCAGCACTAGATGAGCATTTTTGTTTACTACTCAGTGTAGCTAGGCCCTCAAACTTTCCTGAATATGAGAATCACTTAGGATAGCTTATTAAGCAGGTCAATTCCCAACTGTGGCCCCCAGAGGAGGCTGACCTGGCCAGCCTTTGGGCATTTTTAACAAGCTCCCCCTGAATCTGAGAGAGGTAGCCTTACAGAAAATTCAAATTAAAAATATAAATAATAACCCAGATCAATTTGTCATCTTCATTATTTTACCCACACTTCCTCCCCACCAATGCGCACCTCCCAGAACTCTATCACCAGTGCTAACTCATGTGCCACAGGGATCCCTTCAACACTCTAATTTTTTTCCTGGGTGGAATTATAATAAAATGTCAGAGCAGTATTGTCATTATGCCACCTTGACTCTCAATTACTGATCATTTTTGCTATTGCGAGTTGTTTACAGAGATGTTACAGGGCTAAATCTGACCTTTTCAACACAGTGAAAAATTTGTGGCCTCTCAGAATAGAAAACTTAGTCAATATATCCTCAAGTCTGTCTTTTGCTTGTTTCCAAATATTTTAAATTAGTGCGGTGATCTCAGAATCAGGCTCACACCCTGAGAGAGAAGGGGATAGCAGGGCAATTGCGTGTCCTTGAGGGCAGGCTTCCACCAAAAGGTTCTATGGGGTCAGTTTGAGACATGCTAAAGAGAAGTGGATATTACACATGCCCACAAATATATGTTTGAGCCTAAACTCTTCATATTTAAGAAAGGTCTATATGATAGAAAGTAACAGGACCACTGGGGAGACTCAATGAGATTTTACATGGCTTTACATGGAAAATGCCATCATCTACAATGTGTTTTTTGTTTGTTTGCTCACTTGCCTTGGAAATATTTGTTAAAGAAAATGTGTTCGGTGGTTTATTTAAAATCAATAAGTAATTAAGAGAGACTGAGGACATAGCACCACACTAGGAAATAGACCATATAAATTAATCATGAGAAAAGTGATATTTCTGCAACCTTACCCTATAAACAATCTAACAGACACAACGGCTACTGATGAGTTTGTGAATAAGAATCTAGTATGTACAACAGAGCCAGATCATTATTGGGCATGTGGAAGATGAGAGAGCTTGGGCTTGCCACTTACCTTATGCTCTGCAGGCTTCCAGGGAATGACCTGACAACACCTGACCCCTCCTCCTGTGCACTCAGAGGGACCACTCTTGTTATTATTGCAAGGAAAACATGCTATGACTTGAGATCTAAACTGGAAGAAATGGAAAATGGAAAGGAATAATCCAAGAA